TTGTCATCTTACAAGATCCCCTTATTTCTATTCAATGAAACTATAGCATATGTAAAATTAGATGATCCCCTGGTCATCTTACGTTGTCCCCTTATATCCCCTCCATAATAAGAAAGAGTTCATGTACATTTAGATGATCCCCTTGACAGCTTACATGATAACCATATATGTGTTCCATAATAAGAAGGAATAAATGTACATGTAGATGATCCCCTGCTCATTTTCGTGACCCCTTCATTTCTGTTCAATGGATACTATAGTAAATGTAAATAAAGTTGATCCCCTTGTCATCTTTCGTGATCTCCATATATCCTTTCCATCATTAGAAAGAGTAGATACATGTAGATAATCCCCTGGTCGTCATCTTACGTGATCCCCTGATATCTGTTCAAAGAATCTTATACTATATGCACATTTAGACGATCCCCTGGTCATCTTACGTGATCCCCTTAATTATTTCTGTTCAATAAAAACTATAGCATATGTAAAATTAGATGAAGCCCTGGTCATCTTACATGATCCACTTATATCTGTTCAATGCAAAATATAGTATATGTACATATAGATGGCCCACTGGTCATCTTACGTGATCCCTTATATCTGTTCAATGAAAAGTACGGTATATGTACATTAAGATGATTCCCTGGTCAACTTACGTGATCACCTGATATCTGTTCAATGAAAACTATAGTTTATGTAAATCTAGATGACCCACTTGTTATATTACGTTATCTCCTTGTATTCTGTTCAATGAATACTAAAGTATGTGTACATATAGATGATCCCCTGGTCAGCTTACATGATACCCATATATCTGTTCCGTAATAAGAAAGAATAAATTTACATGTAGATGATACCCTTGTCATCGAACGTGATCGGTATCCCTTTATTTCTGTTCAATGAATATTATAGTATGTGCACATCTAGATGATCCCCTTGTCTGCTTACATGATACCTATATATCTGTTCCATAATAAGAAAGAATAAATGTACAATGTAGAGATCCCCTGCTCATCTCACGTGATAACTTTATTTCTGTTTTCAATGAATGCTATAGTATATATGGACATATAGACGATCCCCTTGTCATTTTACGTGATCCCTTTATTTCTATTCAATGGATACTATAGTAAATGTACATATGGTTGATCCCCTTGTCATCTTTCGTGATCTCCATATATCCGTTCCATAATTAGAAAGAGTATATGTTACATGTAGAAATGATCCCCTGGTCATCTTATGTGATCCCCTTATATCTGCTCAATGAATACTATAGTATATGTACATCTAAATGATCCCCTGGTCATCTTACGTGATCCCCTGATATCTGTTCAATGAATCTTATACTGTATGCACAGCTAGACGATCCCCTGGTCATCTTACGTGATCCCCTTATTTCTGATCAATAAAAACTATAGCATATGTAAAATAAGATGATCCCCTGGTCATCTTACGTTATCCCCTTGTATCCCTTCCATAATAAGAAAGAGGACGTGTATATCTAGATGATCGCCTGGTCACCTACGTGATTCAATGATATCAGTTAAATGAAAATTATTTTATGTGTACAAGTAGATGATCCCCTGGTCATCAAGTACGTGACCCGCTGATATCTGTTCAATGAAAAGTATAGTATATGTACATGGTCATCTTACGTGATTGCGTTGTATCTGTTCAATGAAAACTATATAGTATAAACTTGGTCCTCTTATAATGTGATTCCTAATATATTTTTCATATGAACAAAACTATACATTGTATGTATATTCAGATGATCCTTTAGTCATCTAACTTGATATCATCACATAGGTTCATATGCTGATTAAATCATTTGGCATATGAATGAAAGCACCATTATTGCACGACTTAACACTTTAAAGTCTTTTTCCATTTTTATAAGACATTCGTGTATATTTATTAGGGGGATTAAGCATATGCACTTACATACAGTAACACTGATCATTTCCACAGATTTATAGTCTATTTTAATCATGATGATAACGCTTTATAAGAAATTCGTGCTTTATTTATAGGCGGGGCTAAATATGCAAAGTGTACGCTTACTCGATCCCTTTTTCCGTTTACCTACCCCAGCTCATGTATGTAAGAAATTCAAATGTTAGGTTTTTAGGCTTTTAAACCTCAGTGGAGTCCCTTTAACTAGACTTGAAGCCGGAACGAAGTAGATTACGTTACCTATCAGCCGAACATATTTGCTCGAACATGCACATCCAGCTAAGAATTGTCTAAAGATTATGTGTTTGGTGAAACTTATCAACAATGTTCTAGTGCTACATGAATCTGTATGTATATACTTAACAGATTCAAATGAGACAAAAGTAAATAATCAGAAGTAATATTGATTACATATGTATAATTCAATGCAAATTCAATAATTCAATGAAGAAAATTTAAAAGTAGTATGCCTCAATTCTGATTATTGCTACCTAAACCCACAAGTTGTGTTAAATTTAAGACATCGGTTTCTACAAGTAATGATCTACTATACCATCGGGTACATTTATATAACTAAGCCAACGCGTTTTCTTGCAGCTATCCTTACTCCCAACATAACTAAATGGTCAGAGGCAGAGCCTTTCCTTAAACTTCTCTTTACCACCTTTTCATATTGGGACATTGTCCTTCACATAACTACTTTTACAACCACTTTCACTAACTGGTTAGAAGCATAAATTTTGCTCCAAAGACACTCGGCTTAAAAGGCAACCTAATACAATTTTAGAGCTACCAGACTAGAGACTGGACTAGGTATGATTGCTTTACAGTTCTTAAAGCTACTACTCTCTTATCGACATGCCTTTACTGCATTTATCCCACATATTATGGTATTACAGTTCAGTTGGTGGTATTAACATACTGATGATTTGGCTTCTGGGACATTGTAGGGATCACTTATGTTAATTTGAAACCCCTCTTGACATTCCAAACTGACTTGTTTTGAACAATTGTTTTGGAGAAGTGTGCTTTTGGCTTTTTGGTGCAGGCATTTAACATGTTTGCTAAAAATTTAAATGCGCCAATGATTCAATTGCGTTTCAGCTAGCTCTTTGCGGGATTTGGCTCTGAACCAGGAATCAATTATTCAAGCACATAAAGAGACATACGACTGTAACTGACACTAATTATGCGGAATAAAGACAGTCTAGAGCTTTGCCCTATAGTGTCCAGCAAAACGCCCATATTTTATTACCTTTTGACCACTAACATCTCTCAACATTAAAATGAAAGCATTCAATCTGCTTTTTTCAACGAATTTCCAAGTCTCAAAGTACTAGAAATATATTTGACCAACCTAAGTTGAAAGTCAAATGAGATCATGTCATGATTTTACGCTCAAAGCCATTTTGTTCCGCAGGTATGCCCAAGGTTTCTCGATAAAAGACCTAAAATAAATAGGAATGTCTCATGAAGAATCTCTTATTCCAAACAACCCTTAGTTATTCTCAAAGCACTGTTTGAAATTCCCTTAGCTAGCTGTTTGGTTATATTTGCCGTTTCTTATCATATACATTCAACAATATTCCACCGTTTCTATCCGAATACTGGCAGCCCTAAGCCATTCAAAATGCATAATTTAATATCACATGATAACAAAATGGACGACAAGAAACCTCAAAAATGGGTGTCTACGGAGCGCGTCATCCGCCATTTTTTTGTCGGTTTACCTTTTTAAAAAAATGAAACACTTTCTTCATGTACGAAGCTTGAAACCAGTGTGTAGCTATAGACTCCTACGGGATAAATAGTATAATTTTCTATAAAAAGAATAAGCATTACCTCTTTTGTTCAGGAAGGAGTCCCTTTCGCTGAATTCTTTTATTCGAATACTCGTTTTTGGAAAAACTAATACTTGCATTAATTTCTATCTGCAGTTTCATTTTTCTTATCATTTTTAACACCGCCTTAAGCATTTTCTTGAGTAGTAAAAAATTCAGAAAACAAAACATCAAAAGACTCTACGACATTTCCAAGCTAATACTTCAGAAAATGACAAATTTATGCTATGTGTACATATAAGCATGTGGGTACTGAATGCACGAGTGTGATGCAAACTATACATATGAGACCATATTAAGAGCTTTATTTCATAACACAGTAAAATTCTTCCAAAACTCCATTATCAAATTTATTCAGCAGACACTTTCTATTGAACAAATTGTAACTTACCTTACATAATTATAATCTTACTCTGTCAAATAAAACATTAGGTTATACATAATATATGACTTTTTTTGGCCGTGTGTTGTGGCGATTTTTACGTATTAACCTAAAATAACTAGAAAATTGTTATATCATCAATTGAATAACTGTTTTAGAAGAGTAAATGACATTATTTTTATTTTATTTTTACTAACCAATTTACAGAGATGACCTTTCCTAGACATTAAAATTATGTTTGCCAGTCAGATATCACGGTCATAAATTTAAAATAATTTTTTTTATAAAAATAATAAGGTTCAAAATCTATATAGCAGACATTTAAAAGAGACGTACGTTTTCAAAACCTTTGCGTTTATTTTGCGGTCCGGTGTATTTGAAATTATGATAAGTTCCATTCACTTCAAAATCGATATCATAATGAAAATTTATTTCTGTATAAAACTACATGGCATTTCATGGTGAAAAATATCACATAATTATTACCATGAGTGATACAACAACCAATAAAAATCATTAAAAATAACTATATTATGACTTTAAATTGAAACCTTAAGACTAGTTATAAGAAGACAAACTAAACATAATAGTAATTAAATAATCATTTTGATAGACATTATATAAAATACCACCAAGTTATTTATAAATGGAAAATTGTGCCAATTCATGTATTCATATACCTAGGATGACACAAAAAAGTCCTTGTTAATTCATTTGTTTCCATTGTGGTCCAGAATATTTATTATAATATATCAATATCAGATATCAATTTTCAGTTATTCAATCTTAAAAACAGTTTATAGAATCTATTTCTATTTTAGGTACAGCCCTGGAAAAAACGGACAAGGTAAATATTAGTTAATTTGTTTAATTTGCGCTTGAGACATTGCTTTATCTTCTAATGTAAATATTGATAGAAAATTAATTAATTTAAACATGATTTGAATAATCAGTTAATGATTTTCAACATTAGTTATTGAAAAGAGTTTCTGACAAAATATTTAAGTATGTTGAAAAATCGGTTGAGAAAAGTAGAAACTCATAATTTTATTGTTGTCATTTTTTTTTCATTTTTGCAGACCAAGCCCTTCTTTTTTCCCCCTACACTATCAACTGAAGCTACTGTGATGTGTGAAATCAAAAAGGCTTGTCATTTCGACATGCATTTTACATCTGGAGATATGTTTAATTTTCCTGGAGTATGGTAATATTCAAGTTTATATTCTAAAAAGGGGGAAATTAAGTTTGCTTTTTTCCTTACTAAAACACAGCAATTTAAATATTTAGATTAATGCATTGCATGGATTTGTAATATTGTGCTGTTTTCATAAACTTTTAGTCCATCTCTGACTGAGAGGAGTCCAAGTCCCGTACAAGGTGTACACATATTTAAAGTAAAGAGAGAGAACAGTACGGTGTGTACTGGGGATGTCACGTATGTTCCACCTCAAGCAGACGGTTCGCACCAACTTTGTCTCCAAGTATCGATACCAGGGTAACAAACATTTTATTTCTGTCATTCAAATATTTTAAAGTTATTATTTTGTGAAATGATAGATCTGTCGTATTGATAGTGATGATGATTTAAGTTTAACTACTGGTATAACTTAACGATCCATTATCATTCTAATGAACAAGTTTGTTTGTAGTCGTTAACTACACTTGCAGTTCATATAGTGTAGAAACAACAAAGTGGTAAGCTCAATTAAGTATCCCGCATTTGATTAACGCTCCTGATAAAACCAATAAGCAGTGTATTTGAAAATAACTGAAAATGAATTTCGTTACATACATTCAGGAAAAAAGGTGAACGTAGATGTTACACTATTAAAGTAGTCACAGATATGGACAGGGAAGGTAAATATATCTAATTATTAAAGTTTTGATTATTTTGTTTGAAATGATCATTATCATCAAAAATAAATTTACCATAAATATGTACGATCAATGTTTTTAATGTGAAAACTTATATTTTGCAGTTATATCACCATGTCGTGGAATCACTTGTCAACACAACGGAAAATGTATGGCGGATTTCAGGAAGACGCCAGTAACATACTCGTGCATTTGTACATCGGATGGATTCATAGGCACAAATTGTGAACATGGTGAATATAATTTATTGATCTTTAATATTACAACTTAAAGGTTTGTACAACAAATAATTCTATAGGCTTATCAAAAATTTTTGTATCAAGCTTTCGAATAAGATCGGCAAAGCAATATACTCAGATGCAGGTGGAGATGCGGTTTTGTGAAGTTGTAGAAACCTGACAAAGTACTGTGATTGCTTGCTATTCCATGTCAACGATAAAAATATAGTGACAATTGAAATACTTTCTTGCTTCTTTATTAATAATAATTTTATTGTTGCTTACTTATAATTTTTAAGAACGTGAAGAAAATCAATGATGAACAAACTTTTTTTTTACAATTTAATATGGTCACAAATATGCGTTTGTATTATAAATAGTTAGACAAATATACAATGGTATCAATAACAAGATCGAATAAACTGCAAAATGTGTCACAAAAAAGAAAACGATAAAAAAATAAACAATTCTCGCTCAGTCATTAAAACTTTGTGTCAAATCGCAGAGTTCATCACAAAAACTTTATAATATGAAACCCGCTAAAGTGACGCCAGTAAAGAAGGAAATTACATTAGGTTTATTTTAATACGATTTATGAATTCTTTATCAGGAATAAACAATAACAAGACTTTACCAGGTGTCAGGAATTTGAATGGTACGATTAGTGGAATTCAATATTTTGAAATAGACAGCGCTATTCCATATGACGTCAAATGTGAAGAAAATAGTGACTGCTGCATTAATACACCGTATATTGGGATGAAAACTAGTCCGTAAGGAACTTTTACACGTATTTACTTTTCAATCTGCATGTTCTTTGCAAATATATATATAAACATAAAATTATATTAAATATGCCACTAATTTCATTCCATTTTGTTCATTTTGGTGAATATGATAACAAGAAAAGTAACTACCAACTAAATAAAGAGTATTCGACCGAATGTTGGCGTCTAATTGACAATTGACATCTAATTGTATATTGGGATAAACAATATCTATAATGGACTTTTTAAGACATTTTCTTTTTAATTTACATGAGCATTGCAAACATATAATATATAATGATATCAAATTTGTTACTTCTTTATTTCATTTTGTTTATTTTGGGGAATATGATAACGAAAAATGTTACTACCAACTAAATACCGAGTGTACGGTCGGATGTTGGCGTCTAATTGACAGTTGATCGTTAGTATTCAATTAATGTTTTAATTCTGTTTTTATTTGAGATTAAATTGATAACATTTTCTTAAAGTCAAGATCATCATAAAAAGGACTGTAAAAAGATTATGCCAGTTGACTTATATTTGTATTATTGTACACCGTTTACAACGAATAAAAAAGATACCCTTTTACAATGATCAACATGACAAAATAATATATAATGCCATTGCGCCTGATTGGATGAAAAAGATAGTGCGACGTTAATCTCCAGTTGCTTGTCCCATTATAACATGTCAATGTCCATGATGATTAACTCTGTTTTGGTAGGAAGAGATATAGCTAAATACAGTTGCAACTTTTGTGTAATTTTCTTCTTAATTCTTTCTTTTTTATTTAGTTTTAATCGTGATCAATGTTTTCTATTGAATGTGTTTCTTGATAACAAAGAAATTGTATAAAATACTATTTATGTTGTGTTTATTGCTTTTGAAGGACCTTTTATTTTCAATGTGTTCTTGCACTGAAAACAACATGTATAATATGTTGTTTGACGTCAGCTATAAAAGATTGTCCCATATTCCATCTTAGTGTAAGTTATATATGTTCTGATGTAGTCCATGTAGTCTTTATAGTCTTTCGTTGAATATTGAATTCTGCAAAAACCTATACTAGTACATGTGAGAGATGCACGTTTTTTTTATTTTTCGACTCCAGTCTATCGGGTTTCCATTATTTTTTATTTTATTTCCTTTTCTATGTTTTATCTTTCAGTCCATTGATTGGTTTTATGAGTTCCGGTTTGAGTATATCAAACAAAAGTGTGCTAGGAACTGGAAGTACTGATCATTCAAGACATATTTCACAGATATGTGTTAAAGCATCGCTAGGTGGTCCCTATAAATTCTGCCAGCAGACTACTACTAATAAAGGGTAACTTATTTGCACATACAAATGGTACAAATTCAGGGTAACTTATTTGCAACTACCATCAGCATAAATGTATGCTATTACTTATTTTCCATTAACATAGTTCTATCTGAAACATTTACAATAATTTATAGCTTACTTTGTTATTATATTGTTGAAATCACCCTGTTTTCCGATTTTATTTAATTTTGTTAAGATTTTCCTATTATCTTTAATATAATATATGCTATTTTATAAAGTTGTGATGATTTTTTTTTTATTTCAAGGATGAATATTGACGAGATTTGCACGAATATCACTGTACAACATAAAAGTAAGTCTTACATTTCAAATAAAATATCATTTATTGTCACGTCATATTACATTGCATGTTCATTTTTCAATATCCAATTATCTTGTCCAAAACCGCTGGGGGAAATTCAGTGAAACTTCACAGGAGGGAAAAGTACCATCCCTAGTTGTGCAATTCCATTGCATAATATGGCCGCCAGAGCTATAAATAGAAAAAGATTGTCCGCGCTTCATCTCCTAAACCGCTGGGGGACTTCAGTGAAACTTCACAGGAGTGATCAGTGTCATCCCTAGTCGTGCATATCGCCAGCAAATTCCGCTCCGTTTCACATAATGGCAACTTGAGCTTCAAATAGAAAATTCTTGTCAGGCTTCCACAGGTCAAAATGACGGTCGGGTTTCAATGAAACTTCACACAAGTGATCAGTACCATTCCCAGTTGTGCATATCGCTGGCACGTTCTGCTCTGCTGCACAAAATGGCCATCAGAGCTATAAATAGAAAAATCTTGTGTGGCTTAAACGGGTCAAACTGCTGATGGGATTTTAATGAAGCTTCACAAAAGTGATCAGTATCATCCCTAGTTGTGCGTAGCACAGGCAACTTCCCCTCCAATGCACAAATTGGCCGCCAGAGCTAAAAATCTTGCCCGGCTTTCACAAGTTAATCTGCTCGTCGGATTTCAATGACACTTCACAGAAGTGATCAGTACTATCCTTAATTGTGCATATCGCCGGCACGTTCCGCTCCGCTATACACAATGGTGGCCATAGCTATAAAAAGTAAATTCTTTAGTAAAATTTGTGTAGACTATTTCTCCTACATTAATAAAATAAATGAATGTTTAGGAATGATATTATTAAAGGCGGTCGGGCATGTATTACCGGTATTGTGGCATATATTGCGGATTTTTTGCCAAATTTTCCTTTCGGGAGCAAAAGTCACTTTTCTGTGACAGCTCTTGCTACTTTTTTGATTATGTTGGAACCGATAAAATATCAAACTGAGCTGACTCTTTAAATCCTATTTGTCGTATTGATGTATGCATGATACCCATTTAGGCCTTTTTGTCTTTGTGGTTAGATCTTACGTATCAAAACTTCAATTGTGTGTTAGGTAGCCAATTATTCGGTTGTAATGATATAAGAAGTTTAAACCTGCTTTGATATAAGATGTTTGAACCGGCTAATATCCTTTAGCTGCCAGACATGCCCATTCCTAACAAAGTACTTTTTTCACTTTGACATAAAAATAACTAATTGATACATATTCTTTAGTTCTATGACTTATATATCATACATTATGATTAGTTATTTTGTCTTATTTTTTATACTCATTTGTATACTTATTCGCTTGATCATTATCGCATGATGCAACAATATCTTTTAGATGTTCCTCCATTGTTATACGCCAGTAACATGCTTTATTGGTAATAACGCACAGTGCGATATCTCAGATAAGGCATGGTTCTTTAGAATAAGTCTGCGTTATTTCAAATAAAGCACAGTTATCTTAGTTTACATTGTGCATGTATAACCAAGGCCCGGACCATAAAAAACCAAGAGTCACTTGATTATATCAAAACTCAGACCGGAAAATAACGGATATATTGAGATTTGGGATAGGTAATAGGGAACTGGAAATATGTCAGTAAAGACACAGTTTTGTCTGGATCATCTACATTAGTTTGTTTAACGTTTCAATCAATTTAAATCAATCTTATTTAGTGCAATGACACACAGCCTGTATAAGCATTTTACTGTGTAGCAATCCTTGTATTTTTATCAGTTTCAAGTACCTAAGTATTTACTAAATAATCGTTTACATTTAAACAATTGTCAAAATCAATCCTTTGCCGTGAGAATAAAAATACAACGGAAAACGTAATACTAGCGTATCCTAATTCTTTTAAAACAATTCTTTAGAAAAATAAAAATTCGGTCATTTTCATGCACCATAAAACGAAACCGAAATTCCAAGCGGGTAGTTTAATTTATTAAGCGGAGGAAAAATGTCAAATAAAATCTTATTTCAAATCAAATCTTTACTTTTATTTATCATACTATAGTGAATTAGTAAATCAAACTCGAACTTAATTTATATCATGAAATGAGGCTGCATCTGGCGTTTTCTGTACAGAAATTGTTCTCGATATACACGCGACTACTATCATTTTCTGTTACGGCCTTGATCATTTTATGCAGAGTGAGACCCAAACCATAATATATCAACATGATGGCCAATCTTAATACTTTTACTATTACTTAACTTTTATATTTTACTAGATTAGTAGTAAATTATTTTTATCTTTAATTTCAGATTCAAATCATAACACGGTACGACCATACTTTACTTAACTATTTTTTCCAGCAAATCGTTGTCTTTAAATTATGTAGCTATGAACTGAAAATATATATACGAACTTAAAATACTCATCAATTTATATGTTTTAAAAATATGGTGTTATAACATAAATTGTTGTAATGTTTTATAAATAAACAGCTATAAAAGAATATCGAACTTGATATTTATCACATAAATTCGCAAATGATTCTGAATCCGTGCGTCATGATTTTATATAATGTTTTTCATCTCTATTTTAGCCTCCGCCACATTTTAGCAAAAGTATTCCTGATGGGTCGACAGTTTTATGTAAACCGAACACAATATGTCACAATCAGATTATTACAGAGCAACAGCCTGGAGGTCAATGGTACTGTAATAATATCTAAATAGTTTTAAACCTTGCAGATCAGTGGAACTGATATTAATTTGAATATATTTTCAGATTGCATTTTCATCAGAAAATTTTTTGGTATGCATTGACAAAAGCGTTCTGCATTTTTTATTTACGTGCTCAAGTTGAATAGTGGCGCAGTTTTGTGTATATGTTTTGTTACTACCTTAAATCAAAGCGCTATTGTACTTGAGTATTCACTCATATAATATCAATACAACCTCACCGTTTATGCAACGTTCTATGTAATTGCTGGTAAATTTGGGAAAAAATCGAAGACGATTTACCCAGTTTTATTTTTCATCAATCGTAGTCTTTATCGCCTCTCTGTTTACCCAGCGCATAAATTCTAATTGTGGTGTGTTTATTTTTCGGCCAATAAAGTTAAGGATGGAACAGTCTCAGAAATACGGAATTAATTAAGTGTTATGAGTGTGCGTGTGTTTTGAGTCCGTGTTTGTGCCTTAAATATAAATGTCATTTTAAAAGATATTCTGTTAACTATATAATCTATTTCAATATACAGTTTTTGCAAATAGTTATAAAAAGAACTGCTTTGTACTGCAGTGTAATCGTAAGCGAATGTTGCTAGTTCGATAGCCTCAGGATGAACAATTTCTGAGTTTTTGTTAAAATTGTATTCACGAATGCTTTGTGAATTCAAATCTCGATCGGCACTTTTATTCATTCCATTCCTAGCCACTTATATAATAGTATTTTACAGAAATAATCTGTTCGTCCGCTCAATAATTAAAATGTAATTAAATCTGCGTAGACGTCTAGCAAAACAAACAGCAACAATACAAACATTTATTTCACTTTGATACTTTTAAAACTGTTAAAATCTATCTGCGAGGTTATATTTGAAGAACATAAGATTTTCTGTAACTTAAATATATATAACCAGTTCTCAGGTCAGAGAGTGTGGAGAAGGAGTGCCGGGTGTTCATTTCTTTAAAACTACTCCAGTTGATAATTTGTGCATGACGGATTTAGCTATCAAGACAGAAAATCCAGACACACTTGACTTGTGTACTTCTGCAGGGTAATTGTATAATTATAATGACATATTTTTTCTCTATGTTTATTTATTCACACATTTCTATATCTCCCCCGAAAAAAACTACTTAGAGGGTGGAAATATACCGATATAACCGTCTGTCATCTGTTACACTGTCCTGCTTTGAGGCTAACCTGTAGATTGACACAAAAGTGAATTGTGGGGCATCTGTGTCAGTTGGACACACATTTAGTTCGTGATAATTTACCTTAATATTTCTGTATAAAGAATTGACTGCTAAATACCATAGACCTATCGCTGCAATTTCAACTCTGATTCTACATTTTTAAACGAGAGCTTTAATAAATGAAAAACTAAAATCTCAATTTCGTTTATTTCAGATACGGTGGGCAACAAAACCACATGAAAGTAGAAGTAAAAAATGTACCAAGTAAGCTTTACATATTTAAAATAAATGGAGTTTAAAGAGATTTTATCAATTAGATATCCTTACAAGATGAATTTTGTCAGAAATTAATGTTAAACCATCCTTTCATATTAACAGTGATTATAAAGATCATAAAATTAATTCAATGTTTTTCTTTACATTAGGTTTTGGGCCATGCCAGAAACTACATTGTTTAAATGGTGGCAGGTGTTTAGCAGTGCATATATCAGACGCTATTTGTAAATGTCAGCCCGGATACACTGGCCAAGTCTGCGAGACAGGTACATATAACATCAGTTTTTACACAATTATTCCATCATATTTATAGTTTGATACTCACTGCTGCTTAATTTAGTATTATGTATTGGTTAGAAAGATGTCTTTCATTAAAATCATAAAAAGATAGTACAAATGAAACAAAATACATAAAGAAAGTGTTCTTGTGTTATTTCTCTTTACATATTTTTATAGAGAATGTATATATTATTCATATAAAATGGAGAAAGTTGTTCCATGTCTCTTTTATCGTACATATGTATCTCATATGTAATAATTTTAGAAATAATTATCTTATATATACATTTGTGCATGATTGTGTTTATTATTACTTTCATATGACACTAATGTACATAAATAACAGCTTAAACTGCCTTTCTGTGTACAAGGGTACCTACTTTGTTTCATCTTTACTGATGTTATGATTCTTCAAATAATATATTCATGCTTTTTCAAATTAAAATATATTTTTTAACTTTTTTATGAGACTATTTATTTATAATTTCATTCTCTTTTCAAAGATATCGATGAATGTGTATCTAATCCTTGCATAAATGGAGCAACTTGTTTAAATAAACTGAACGAATATCAATGTAAATGTATGCCTGGTTACACTGGAGCGGACTGTAGATTACTGAGTTTACATATATTTTCTGTTCTTAAAGTTTTGGAACCTGTGACCGACAATACTTAATTCTGCGTCTGTTGCTGAGTGACTAGGATCGCTGACTTCAAATCACTTGCCCCCTAACGCTGTAGGTTCGAATCCCGCCAGGGGGCCTCTTTCATGTCTTGAAGATGTATAGCTAGTTTACTGCTACTCACGGAGGAGCAACTGAGGTCGTCTTCAATCAGTAAAGTTTGAATTTCGACATATGAAATCTACTGCGCTGGTGCGACGTATAACCAAACCAAAAACTACGACTTTTGAAATAATTCCACGCCTGATGTTTTTTTTTCAGTCGAAAAAAACTACTTAAGTCATAGTGATTGCACAAATGATGGACAGAATGATGCATTTTGCAAGACTGGTTAGTCTAAGTATTTTTTTATAAATCTTTTTATAAGTTAGATAGTTTAGTGCAATATATACATGGTGTACTTTTGCCTAGAATTTTCATTTTATGTCCCTTGCCCGTGTTGATCGTCTGTTTATTATGTTTCCCATCCGTATTTTTTCTTGCTGTTTGTCAGTAGGCTCTGGACGTAAAATAGAAAAGATGAGGAAACAAGAAGAAAGTTTATAAACTAAACTAGGCCTTGTTTAATTTGGCTTAAACGCCGATGAATGTATCTTCAAATTTAAGTTTTATCAGTTTTATAGTTACCTTGGAGTAATACTCTGTGTTCAAAGTGCAGTCGTCTTTTACTTCATGCTCCAAGATCATTTCATTCGGTCCATGAAATAAATACACATCTCCTTCCCTACGCTGTGCTGAACCCGAGTCTTTTTGTTGCCGGTGATCTCGGAGTTTTCTACACACTAGATACCGCCTTCGTTTCCAGGTCAAAAAGATGAATGCAAGATCATCGAACATAAAAATGCGACCAAAAAGCCCTCGCGGTGAAGCTGATAGAAAAAAGTCGAACAATAAACTCGTTGTTCTTTTTCATTGTCCTTCAAAAGTCTTGGATCAACGGTGATACACAGGTGACATGTGTGTGTTTTATTTATCTTGTGCGCACGAGATACTATGTCGTGGCCACGATTTACTAAGCCGTGGCCACGAGATAGTTAAAAAAATCTGGAAACAAAGTGATCCCTCGGAAGCATTAATCACAACAAAATTACAAGAGAATTGCAGACTCGGTTTGATTGAGTCTGTACATGAGGGATAATGAATACGTGCAACATCCCTCACGCCCCCTAGCACCGGCTTGAGCGGTACTCAATTCTCAACACTTAATAGTGCTGGCATCAATGATCCCGAAGGACCAGAAAAATATAACAACACTGAAGTGAAGTACGAACGAGTAAGTCGTGGGAACGAGATATTATGTCGTGGCCACGAGTTACTAGGTCGTAGCAACGAGATTGTTAAGTCATGGGAACGAGATACTATGTCGTGGCCACGAGTTACAAAGTCGTTACTACTAGATTATTAAGTCGTAGCAACGAGATATTATGTCATGGCCTTGTGATACTATGTCGTGGCCATAAAATTCTATGTCGTGGCCATTAGTTACTAGGCCAAGGGCACGAGATAATTAAGTCGTTTGAACGAGATACGTAGTCTCGGCCACGAGAACTATGTTGTGGCCACGAGTTACGAAGTCGTGAGCACGAGATAATTAAGTTGTGGGCACGAGATACTATGCCGTGGCCATTAAATTCTATGTCGTGGCCATGAGTTACTAGGCCATGGACACGAGATAATTAAGTCGTTTGAACGAGATACTTTGTCTGGGCCACGAGAAACTATGTCGTGGCCACGATTTACTAAATCGTGGCCACGAGTTACTAAGTCTCGGTCACGAGATAGTTAAGTCGTGGGGTTGAGATAATAAGGCCACTATGTCGTGGCCATGAGAAACCATCTCGTGGCCACGACTTAACAATCTCGTTGCCACGACTCAACTATTTGTGGCTTAGTGACGACTAAGTTACTCGTACCCACGACATAGTATCTCGTTCCTACGACTTAGCTATCTCATGGCTACGACTTAGTAACTTGTGCGCACGAGATAAATAAAAAACACTCATGTCACTCGTGCCACCGTATGGAACCTATCTGGCGCTATATTTCCATGGCGAATACTGTTATAACAACCACTTTTCTTTGAAACGACATAATGACGATACTTGAAAGACTGCTAAATTTGCGCCATTAATATCTAATACAAAAATGAAATTCATTTATCAAAACACCTGGTAAAAGAACAGGCATTTTTGTCTCCATTTGGTGAATTTTTATGTTGATTGTCCTACAGATACAAAGGTCATAAAAACCCGGTCGGACCGTGTTATTGTTTTACAAAAAAAAAAAAGAATTTCGGCCGTTAATTTGCTGTTGTTTATCTGTTTGCATATTTCGGCCATTAATTTGCTGTTGTTTGTCTGTTTGCATATTTCGGCCGTTAATTTGCTGCTGTTTGTCTGTTTGCATATTTTGGCCGTTAATTTGCTGCTGTTTGTCTGTTTGCATATTTCGGCCGTAAATTTGCTGCTGTTTGTCTGTTTGCATATTTCGGCCGTTAATTTGCTGCTGTTAGTCTGTTTGCATATTTCGGCCGTTAATTTGCTGCTGTTTGTCTGTTTGCATATATCGGCCGTTAATTTGCTGTTGTTTGTCTGTTTGCATATTTCGGCCGTTAATTTGCTGTTGTTTGTCTGTTTGCATATTTTGGCCGTTAATTTGCTGTTGTTTGTCTGTTTGCATATTTCGGCCGTTAATTTGCTGCTGAATGTCTGTTTGCATATGTTGGCCGTTAATTTGCTGCTGTTTGTCTGTTTGCATCCTTTACAGTCTCATTGTCCTCTTTTAGTCAGTGTTTGTCAGAAATGAGGAATATTGTACTAGTACGAAGGCTGTTCGATAAAATCGAGGAATTTGAAAAAACCTTTTATTTTCATATACTTTCTTTTTTTATATTTACCGTTATTATGTATTAATGTGATACGTTTACTTGTGCAAAGATGAAAGGAAGTTATAAATAAACACCCGAAATACTTGTAACCATAGTAACCAATGTTTGCTTGTTGCCGGGCTTCCTTTTTCACCGCTTTGTATGTAAAGTAATGCAGAGATGGATTGTCAGTGATATGCAAACTAATTCATGGATAAATCGTCAGTGTATTTAATCTTTCAGCTCCACCTAAATGTTTTTCTTGTGATTACACTTCTGGACTTTCCTACTGTGACGAAATTATGGCATGTTCTAATAACCAGGTAAGAAAATGACTGAAAACCATCCATTCCCAAGAATGATTTCTAGGGAATTTAAATTAAAACAAATTAGAAAATTCGCCTTTATTCATTTGAAACAATGGGGACATTAAAATTTATGTGTTTCTGACGATGCCTGAATTTTTTAGAGAAGGACGTTGTCTATGTTTCGTGGTTATTTTTTTTTATAAAAATAAAAAACGAAATGAAGCACCACATCAAGATTTTGACGTTGTCTGACTTGACTCTGTTTTCACTAACAGCAGTTGTTTGACTTATGCCTAGGTCACAAATAAAACGGCCACCGACCAATTTAACGAATTTTTGGAGGCTTTGGCGTGGTAATGAATTAAACTGCCACCGGGCGATTCTTTGCCGAATTTATGTAACAGACAACATTCAAAGACCGGACTGTCACCGCCCGATTTATAAATGGATCGGACGGTCGCCGCGTGATCGCCGGGTGGTAAAGAATCGGCATTTTATGATATTGTTTTAAAAATCAGTCAGTGGTCAATATGCAAGCAAAGAAGGCAATTGATGGAGACAAGATGAAGACCAAGTAAATAATGCAACAATTGTATCTTGCCTTTTCCTTAATACTTATACGCGTAGACGTTCTTTCTGACCATAAAGTTCACGTTAAAATTCAAAAGAATTCACAGATACATACAGTTTAGGCAACAACAAAACTCTCAAGCCTCAATTAAAACAGACTCAAGCCGCGCATACCTTTACACAAAACAAAGAGCCCGGTACCATAATCTGAGAATCCCCCCGGAACCGCGATACCGTTCCCCAACTGGTGCTTTCGCGCGGGCAGACCGGCTTTGTCCCCCCGGGTCCCGTGGCGCAGATTTTTTGGGTTTTTTATGTTTTTGTCCAGGGGCCTGGTTTTAATAAATTTAACCCCTTCGATTTAAGTAAAATAAATTGGTTTTAAATTATCCTTTCGTTTTTATTTTGGTTTCCCCCTTCGTTTCGCAGCGTTTATTTAAATTTTGGAACCAAAGCAGTTTTGTTGAAATAAATTTCGAAAGCAAAAATAGTTTTTAATTTTCTGACTTTTGACGTTAGTAAAAATTTTTTTTTCCCTTTTAGTGGGGCATAAAATTAAAAAATTTTTTTTTTAATTTTGTTTACTTTAACACGCATTCAAGTTAAAGGATTAAATTTGTCAAAAAAGGGTTTTACAGGCCTTTTCCTAAAAATTCTTATACGCGTAGACGTTCTTGCTGACCATAAAGTTCACGTTAAAATTCAAAAGAAGACTTTAATAATTTTGCTTTTGATAATTATTCTTAATTTATATTTATGAAACTAAATGTTTAATAATAACATGTTGATATATGGTTGTTTTGAAATAATTATAACTTTAGTATATAAGCTTACATTTCTGTGGTTACATTGGCAATGCACGCCTGCACTTCAAAACTAACTCTTTAAGGGCATCCGGGGTCCGTACTCAACAGCGAAAGCTGCATATTGTGCCCATACGGGCGGAAGGACACTCATTAAGCATATACTATATATAGATAGATAAGAAACTTTGATATGCATTTTCAACATGAGGTGTATTGTTTTTTTATGAATGGTTTTATTTCCAATAAATCAATTAACAATAGCTTTTTATATATATCACCAATGTCAAGTAGCTTTTATATCTTTGACTCGAATAGTGAATTTCCTCATACCTGCCTAAAATTCAGGTAACAGTCTTCTATCAGTATTGAAAGAAACCATTTTTTTATATTTGACATAAAAATGCATGTTATATTACTATATTATAAGTCCAATTTGTTACAATTGAAATAAAAATAAAAACAGACTTTTATATTTCTATCATCTTATGTTACTGACTACAGTAGTGACACAAACAGAACACAGTACAGTCATGTCACATAACATTTACAAGTCTTGTAAGTCTTGTTTGTATTCAATGGAATTACTTTCCTTACCAGGTAGGCATCAGTGAAAGCATTTTTCAAATTAAATATCTGGCCCCTCTTTTTAATTATGAACAATGCATAAGATAAGTATAATTATGCAAAAAATGGTTTACAAAACATTCGGAAAAAATCTACAATAGTACTTAATCTGAATATAACATGACATGTGCGAAGGAATAATTTGGTAAGGTATCTGTAATGAGCGCATTTCTTGCGCAGAGCTTCTCAATTACTGCATTGCAGCAACATTTGTACTTGTAATTGGACAGTGTTTTTGTATCAAAAAGATCCGCGCCAGATGACTTTTTCAACCAATGACCCCAAAAAGTATCGTTCGAACCGCGTTAGCTTTTAACTAGAAATTAAAACTGATGGCGCCCGCCCGATGAAGAAATTTTCCAGCTGGTGTCGTCCGATTGTCAAGGTGGCTGGATCGGTCGATATTGCGATTTTTTGGAGAAATAGTCGCCGCCCGACGGCCGTTTGTCATTTGTGACTTAGGCATTAGTGAAACATTTGTCACGTTCCTAGCTTTGGTGTTCTTTTTAATGAATCAGACATAAGCACTTGAAGAATCAATGTAAGAATCAATTATTGAAAATGATACAAAATGCTAAGACAGCTCAGTAATTGTATATTGTGCGTCGGATAGTTGTTTTCTTGTTTATTCTATAAATTGCAGACATGTTATGTTCAGAGTTTTACAAATTTAAATGGGCACACTCACTACAGATCTGGATGTATAGACTATCAGGTAAAAAAAGATATTAAATTGTTTGACGTTGCAGAGGACCCATTTTTATTTATATAATTTTGTGACTTTTAGATTTTTAGCTTTATTCCAATTTAAAAAAAATGACACTGCTAAACAACCAACCAATTCGCTATAAGAAGTTTTGAAACAGTAGTGTACAGACATAATGATGTACAATGCTCATTTGAGATTTTTTAACGAAGCTATACAATTAAGTATTGTAAAAATTGAACTTGAACTTTTAGGGTTTTGCATACAATATGATAAAGTTATTGCTGTGTGCATTATTACAAAAAAAACAACTAAGGAAGAAGTCGCCTTTTTATGGCTTATATAAGTACCTTTAGAACAATAAGCCAAAATGAATCATTAAAGTGTATCATAAAAATAATATAAATCACAGACCTGTCGTCTGAACGAGCATGGGAGCAATTCTAAGGGGACATGTCTACAATGCTGTGATGGTAATTTCTGTAACTCGCATGGATGTGGAGATAATGGTATAATAAATTTTTTAATTTTAGGGAGGGATAAATGGATATTGCTAATCAAGATAAATGGACACGATAATGGCATGAATATACCGTAAAATAATGTCATACTATTGGACGTATAAAATTATTTTAAGGTGTTTTTATGCGTAAAAGAATAAACCCACTTCCTGTTGTATAATTTTCAAATTTACTGGGAGAGCACGGTGCTAGTGTGGGTACCTAGTAATAGCAACTCTATTTGTAACTGAATATTTTATTTACAACACGTACCTGGCCAATGAAATTCCAAATTCCAAAAATATCTACTTGCACTGAATTTTCGTTATCTAATTTAGTTATTGAGTTAGTTACAGTTAGCAAAATACAATATTTTGTACAAACATTTCAAATTATATAACCTTCAGGACTTCTTATTATAAAAAATCGATTATTTAACTTTAACAGGTTTCCCGCCAAAACAATCACGAGGCCCTCTTTGTCTCGACTGTTCGCACGTGAGTGACCCAGAAGAATGTGACAAAATAACTATCTGCTCCTCGAATGAGGTTTGCTTACATTTATTTCCTAGTTTTATTATCAAATGATAAGAGTTTTATTAATACAATATGAACTTGGTATACATTTGTGAGTAAATTAATTTTTAATTAAGTAACATAAGCTTTATACAGAAATTTAAGGCGTATATCTTAACCGTCATTGTTGCATTAATAAGCACACTTTAATTCATGTCCAGATCATATTACTTGATAAAAAAAGTTTGCATTCGATATGATATGGTAAGGGACTCGAAATTTCTTCATTTTCTGTTCTTAGGTATGCCGCATCGAAGAGTTTCCATGGGGTGACAATTCCATATTTCACCTTGGATGCGCGTCAGTCAATGTATGTAGAAAATTTTTGTATTTGTCAGACGGAGAATATATGTATTACAGTATCAAGCCGATATAAACACTGCATTTGGGCTGCTTCCACTTGTTACTACATTAATTTTTAATAGAATCATATTCTTTATTCTCACCAGTATGAATCAATCCTTTCAACAAAAAAAAAAATGTCAAAAACAATAATTAAACAGCTGAGTAAATTCCGTCTCTTTCCGTTAGATATTACAAATTACGTCATGTAGGAAGATTAGTAGCACATTTATCAACTTCTTTTGTCAAATCGAAATAGTATATATCAGCTTATTACAAAGATCTTTCAATCGTTCTGATATCTTATTTATAAAACAGGTTCTTTTTTAATAAAACATAATATGTTATTTCAGGATTGTGCTATAGAACACAGAATTTTGAACCCTTTCAACCAGAGGTCAGTTCCAGTCTGCACAGAATGCTGTCAGGAGGATTATTGCAATACAAACTGTACAGGAAGGACCCATAATCAACAACAGATTATTGTTGGATAAATTTATCTGTATATGATAAATGTGTTCGAATCTTTTTTCGAGTATAATTGATTAAAATAAATCAAAGAAAACTATACATTTGATAAATTTATTAGAATTGTTACCCCCAAACCATTAACACTCGGTTATTTTCTATGAGAACGATTTATTGAAATTGAGTATAAGTTTTTTTTCCCGTGTATCCCATATGATTTAATAAGCTTACAAAAAGCCATTATATTTGTTTATTCCAATATATTTAGTAAAAGTTCATCTAAATTAAGTAGATTAAAAGATATAAAACTAAAATTTACGCAATTTATATACTTTTTATAATGGTTGTAGAAATCGCAGGTACAAAATGTCTACCGGTTGGTATAATTCGTATTTGTTTAAAATTCTACATCAATGGGCATTTTTAGATTGGTTATGATTGTCAGACATATTTTCAATCGTTATTTGTCTATGTATGTCAAATATATACATTCGTTATACATTATCAAAGATTACACGCTCTGTTTTTGTTTACATCTATAACCACGTGGTAGAACTACTTTCAATCCGTATTGTGTCCGAGTTCATTATGTATAATAGCCGAGGATGTTCCGATTGAAGCAAGTGAATGAGCGCACTGCAAATTCACGTAATTAACTAAGAGTGACTTTCAAGATGACTGCTGTGTTGAATAACTGAAGTTACTTGCACAAAAAATGTTTAAGTTTAGATGAGATAATCAGTCAACCATGATTAACATTGAGGATCAATAAACTAAAACAAATATCTAGTAACTGTGCCTAAGCCAAAAGGTAACCGTCAGAAATTTCTAAAATGACTTTGGATTGACGGTAGATATACTGTGTAGGTCTGCATGAAGACAACAGTAATTTTAAAAAAACAAAAAATACATAACCAGATAGATCTTAAGAAACTATATGTATTAGACAATTTGCAACAAAGGACGAACTAGATCCATCAACAAGACAGACACACGATCAGGGACGTTTAGAGCTAGATTTGTGATTAAGATTAGTTCTTGACAGCTCTCAATTCATCAAGAAACCTAGCACTAAACGTTTTTATCTCAAATAAAGAACGCTTAGGCTATATTTTTTTTAATTTTCTAAAGAATGTTTTTAAATTTCTATTAGAAAAGTTATTTAGATTTAGATTAATCTTATTTATCATTTAAAATAACGTACAGTTTTTGTGTGTGTTTTATCAAATAAAAGCATATACGAAACACTTTACAAACTCCTTCAAAGAATTTCGAAATCGTTTTTAGAAATTTACTTATTACTTACTTAGAATAAAATGTTATCCGCATAACAAGACGATAAAATCATCATTCTCAATGCAAAACCATAATTATAAATTTCATAATGTTGTGGTCATAATGATACGAGAGAACATCATTGTACATATATAACAGAAATAAATCATTGTGAATAGTGCAAGACGATTCGGGAAATAACACATATACCCGAAACTGGTAGAAAGTGTTTTTAAACATACAGACAGTCATATATATACATGATATCTATGGAAAATATGTGTAATATAGTCATAAAAAACAAACATACGTCATTTCTTTAACTTTACTATCGTAAAAACAAACAACAAATGTTCTACTATATATTGTCATTGAGCATCGTTTTGGAATTCGCAACAAAAAAAAGAAAGTGACAGAGAAATGTCTCCATATCTATATAAATGATAAAGTAGTATAAGATCGTACAAATTTTTTGCTGGTCGCAATTCATTACATAATATTGTGTGAAAGTGTCTTTAGTAACATAACGGAAATAACGATAGATACGTCAATGAACAAATATATGTTGTTGTCTTCCTGTTGTCGATTTTACTGCAATAAAATACAATGAAACATTGGTTAAAATATTAAATATATGAGCACATGTACGTATCTCAAAATATATGATCAAATTATAACAAACACCATATGCATATGTATTTGTTTGTTTGTGCTTAAATCGACAATAAAATCAAGTAAATCACAGTAACTATTTATTAAGTATTATAAGACTGTAAGTATGAAAACAATGAGTTTTTCCTTCTGTTAGAATTATTGATTAAATACTAAAATAAATGTATTACAAGTACTGTACACACATCAGTTATGAAAGAAAATAAATTTGTTAAGGTCTGTATGATGATAATCTTAAATATGACAGAATACCTGTTTTGCAGATAAATGGATATCGCTTAGTACATTCTGTGTCATGCCAATGATATGAGGCAGAACTGCTGTACACCACGCAGTTCTGTCTTGTGCGACCTTCCGGTTGACCTAAAACATTCATTTTATAATGATACAAAACCTATTCATGTTTCCTTACAAATTATAATTATATCAAAGGCAAATTATTTTTACTGTTATCCTTGAACCAATGAATTATATACATACCAAAATAAAACTTGGATACCTGGATAGTTGTAATGCCATTCTATTTCAAATTCAACAGTTTGCATATTATTTATTATTTGTTTGTGTTAAAAAAGAAAACAAAAAACTATTGTCTGAAATATAACATTTTATCATTCCAAAAACAAGTTTTGTATTTTTACACATACCGCGAGCCCATTTGATAAATGTCGCTGGAGCACTTGTGTCGATCCATTTCCACTTTCCTTCAGACCCTTGGTCAGTCAAACCCAATAGCCAATGAGGACTTGCTACAGCATGAGTAATATTAATTATACTATTTCAAATTTGATAGAACGTAGCATGCATATTAACTACTTCGACAGTAAGAAATGCCGTTTTTCATTGATATCATCATAAATTGTTAATTAAAGTCAAGTTAAATTAGAAAATCATAATTAATTGGCACACTCGGTTCATTATCATTATTCATAAATCAATATTATTCTTTCTTCACCGTTATTTTATTACTAGCTTTGAAATGAAGAAGGTGTCCAAATAGTGTTTTTATTGTTAACAAATATGAACAGTTCACTTTTAAAGCAGATTATACGAGGTCTCAAAACTTATCAAAATATGATCTAAGTAATTATGAACAGAGGTGAATGGGGCTTGTAAAATAGAACCATCTGGCTAACAGAATAGTTATGATACGGCATCATAAATACGTGATGGCAAAATTAATTTTACATATTTTTATTTCTTCACGATGCCAATTAGAAGATAAACTTACATTTCGAGCGGCCTAGCATTCTGACTATAAACGCATTTTCCGCCGCATCTTGTACATACAACAATACAGACTCTCTTTGTTTGCAGAAAGCCTAACAAAAATGATTTGGCATATATCAAATTCCATATCTGTATATAAGAGCTTTACTTAGAAAATCACGGGGGACCAACTTCGTATGATTCATGGAAATTTGCATCGGTAAAAAAGAAAGGTTAATTTCCGGTAAGACATATGTTCGAATAACTCTCATATGAAGATAATAAAACAGCTGCCATCAATATGAAAATCATATTCAGAGTCACTGTTGCCCATATCCACCCCTCAAATTGTTCAAATTTTATCAGTATGAAATGATTTACAGCTAATAAGGTGATAAGTTCACTTATTTTTGTCAGCGAATTGAGAAGAAAAGAAAGGTTTACACGTATAAAATTTTAATTAATTTGTTATGACAATCGTTACATTTTAATCAAACTTTTATTGAATATTTCTGCATAACCAAGTGTTTACATAAACGGATACTGTGCTTAGATTTGCCTAGGCTGATAACTTAAAATGTTTTACATGAATGACTAAAATGATTGTAAAAATGAAGGAAAGGATATTTGATAGATTCTTTTTTTAACAATAAGGGTAGAATTTCACACATGCTAACTATTCCTTTAGGAACCGGCCCATTTTTCCTTTAAAGTACACAATAAGATTTAATTACTAATATAAAATTATGTAATTATTGTAAAAAAATAAAATGGACATATATGTTCAATAAAAACATAAATTACTTTCAGCAAGCTTTTAAATTATGTACCAAATAAATACAATGCGTCTCTCTGTAGCCATTCCAAATAAGTTTGTGCATTTATGCATATAAATTATATTCAATGACAGTCATAATTAAACGAAGTATCAACAGCGATTGCCTATACAAAATCATCTTTTCAAAATCGTAAGAACTTAAGTCAATTAAGTTACACAGAAATCAACTTTTGAAAAAGTAAAACTTTCAATATTTGTTCTCTCTTATGACGCTTGTAAACTACCAATGCATTTTGTATTTAGCGAAGTAAAGATTTCCAGCTTTATAGCTTTTTATTTTTTATATATTTTACCGAAAACGAACATATTTTTCTGACCAATGCATATTTCGGTGAACAATATTTATTTGATCTCCTGTGAAAGTGATCAAAAATAACTACTACAACAAATCTTGCTGTACAACGTTATAGTTGCATGTTTTATTTTATTCCTTTTTTTATTTTGATTTTATTGCTTTGATACTTTTAAAATATTATTATATAAGTTTAAAGAATGAATTAGGATCGGAAAATTTCAACAGCACATAAAAATATGTAGTAAATGAAATAAAATAAGTAAATAATCTCGTCAAATACTTAAATCATACAAATTAACATGAAAAAGAATTACTTATGTATTTTATTCTATACTTGTATCGTGTATAAACTAAAATAGATTTTTAAAAAAATAAGTTACATCCAAATCTTATGATCAGTTATAGTTATAAGTTCTTACGCACCCTTGCTTCTTCAAAATTACGAGCTGGAAAAGTTTCAAAGCGGTAACAAGATCCGTTGTAAGAAACCCAATCATCAGCGCAAGAGCTTTGAGGACATTTCGTTTTATGACATTTTGCATGTACCATCTCTATAAATAACACAATCGAATGTTTAAAAGGTTATAAGTCGCAAATCAAGGTTAATTCAATTTGAATTTGTATGTAAACATGAATGTAAAACGGGTGAATTAATAAGCAGAGAAATATGGCATGCAGTAAAAAAGTTTTGAAAATTAAACCGTATTTCATATCAATGAGAAATCAAACCTTTGAAATTTTCTTTCAAAGACTCGAGTCTTTTTTTAAAGTCCGTCACAAGGTTCTCCATCATGTAGAAATCATATTCCGTCTCGTTGAGGCACACCTCGTTTGCTTTTGAAATTGTCATATAACAGCAGACCAAAAGCGCGCTTACTAAAGATATTTTCATTTTCTTTCACGTTACACTGTCAACGTTTAGATACTAGTGTTTTCTAATGAATTTCAATATTCAAAGCAGACTTAAATACTTTTCACAACGGTGTCAGGATGGCTCGAAACGTGACTTTCCGTTTTTAGGAGATTACTATCGCAACTATTACATTAACATCCTTGTTTGCTATTGTTTTGAGTGAACACCTTGATACAACTGCGTAAATCAGAAGGTCTTTTGAAATATAGTACACATATCGTTTACTCGATTACACTTTGTTTTAATAATTGGTCAAATGAGAACTTTTTAAAACATAATTTGAAGAAGATAAAAGTAAGCTGTTTTGATACTCAAACTTTTATAAGATATAAACTTATCTTTTGATAATTTCAAGGGATTTTTCCTGTTTGTACGTGTATGTTGTTACAGAAACAATATATCACAAACAGTGATTTAATCCCTAAATAAAATGAAACCACTGTTTGAAGTTCGAATGCGAGGAATTACATGTATATCACGACGACGATGCGCATCCGAACGATAAACTGTGATTTTATCAAGAGATAAAAATTCTGAAGCACCCACAACCTCGCTGTCACAGCAAAGCCAAGTTCATCTTAATCAATTTAACAAATACCCATCATGTCCTCCTTCAGTTGGGAAGAGTCACTGGGACTTCTGTCTGGGATTTTAGAGGGATGCTTTATGGTTTCCCTATCATAACGCTCTAGCAATGCACGCAGTGCTATGGTACGTATTCATGTATATATATTGTATCGGCTGCCAATGGTTCTAGTCTCTTTCTACGGATAACCTGGCTCAGCGATTGCCTCCTCAAAGTATTTCCCATTAAAGGTTTTACAACTATCGACCTTGTGACTTTGTGACTAATGAGAATTAGTGAAGCTTGGTATGTGCCACTCAGCTAATTGTCTTTTTAGCTTTGGTTCATACGACCTCAACCACGCTTCATCGATATCAATGATTCTTGATTACTCGTTACCGCTGTAATCAGTTAACCTCGAAATAGATTTTCCCGTCTTTACCAACAGCCGGTGTTCTTTTTCTTGCATATTACATATCAATTATTTTCAGAAACTGATATTCTCATTATGCACTTTTTTCTTATAGCAGCGTATGAACTTACAACCTCATTCATAACGGTTCATCCTAAAATCTATTCAATAAATTCATTCATAAAAGGCGCGCGGCAATGATGCCATTTAAAGCACGCGGATTGTCTTACATGGGGGTATAAGATAGAGTTTTCTAGCGCCGGTGTAAACGGTAGATAATCCTGTCTGATACGCAAGAATATGGTGTACATGATTCATGAATTAGATGTGTAATACTTTAAAAACGCCATAGTTAATTACATTTGTATAAACAATGTCACAAAGGATTGTATTTTCGTATTCCATTCTTTGCAAAATTAAAAAACAATTTTAAAACAAATGTCAAAATTTTATCATAGTACATTCATTTTTGATAAGTTTTGTTCATCGCTCACATATATTGACAACACACTTAGTTTCATTTCATTGAATGCACTTTTGTGTTATGTCCTAAAATTATAATTGTCTGAATAAATATTGGTTTCATAACGTTTTTTCGTCCTGTGACCTTTTTATGCAACCAACCAGAAATGTTTTAACAACATTGATAGGGGCCACTCAAGGGCCATTGCTGTGAAGTTTAGTTAAAATCAAGTTTAAGATATAGTTCAAAGACAGTCATTGACGAACAAAGGGAGAAATAAAAACTCACAAAGAGCACGTTGAAAGAAAAAGTTTTCAAGCAAATAAAGATTTTACTATAATAATAATAATAATAATAATAATAATAATAATAATAATAATAATAATAATAATAATAATAATGATAGATGATAATGATGATGATGATGATGATAATAATAATAATAATAATAATATTAGTAATAGTAATAAAAATAATAAAAATAGTAATAATAATAACCATAATTGTAAACAAGACAGTTGTTATCCTAATATATTTAGCTTTCATCATAAGGTATAAATGTTAATTACATTCAGATAATTTTATTTTTCATTTTTAAACCCTTCAAATGATATGTTATTTCGGACGTATTTCAGACTAATTGTTCTAATGTTAATAAGTACAATTAATGTTATTTAATACAATGATAAATAAAATGATGACGATTTTATGCATTCAAATGTGACATTTTGTTAAATGTTTGAAACATTATCAACTTTTTTAGTATAATGAAGTTCTACTTAAACACAATTTATTCTATATAATAAGAAATAATAAATCCTTGAAAAAGCGTGAGTTATTTTTTTTTGTGCGTGTCCAACTTAATTTCCTTCTTCCTACTGCATATGTATCTGTTTTAAGACAAAAATTATAAATGGCCCTTGTATGTTACATTTACAATCTTGTAGTTTTATTTAAATTAAAAATGGCGAAGTCATAGATTTTCTTGTTTATAAATACCTTAGGCGCATCTTCTTGCAATATTTCATGCACGAGCAAGCACCTGAGTAAAACCATCACCCTTTCGTAGGCTTGACAAAAAACCGTTGGCTAGTGGATTTGAACCCATAACGATGAGTACAAGAAAAAGTGATTCCAGTGATAATGTTTGAAATCTCATAAAGAGAACCGCATTGTTGTACGAGCCACAGAATAGTATTCTAATAGCAATGTTGAAATATCTTTATATAGTCTACACTATTTATATTTAATAATAAACCAACGCAAATAAAAAATCTTCGTTTTCATATGAACAAATGTTTCGTAGCTATGTTCGCTTGTTTGACTGTTTTTACGCCGATTTTTAATATTATTTCGATCATTTGTCGATGGTTGGTTCATACAGTCGAATTTCCTGGATAACTAACCAGCAATGTTCAAATATCCGCACGTGACCGATAACCAATCCCCAGTTGTTTTTTTGTATTAGCAGTAAACGACAAATGTCTATTAGACGTAATGTCTGGCATCAATTGTGATGGAGAAATTTTGCCTTGCTCGACGATCGAACAAGTGTCCTCTGGATTACAAATCCGATGTTATTTCTATTGAGTTTAGCGGGGATGGGAAGGAATAGACTTATATTGTTGTAAAAGTTTTAATAAAATCAAAATATTTATTATAGATTTTTTTATTCATAAAATCAAAATATTTTATATATACTTTTTATTGAATTCTTTCTTAAACATATTGTAAGAACACGACACATACAGGATAAGTAAACTGTGTGAACAAAAATCTGAAGAGAAAACAGTACAAATTCGTAAAATACCAATCATATTGCTGGTGGTCTTACGAACTAACTCTATTTTTAAAAGTCAGTAACAAATTGGACGCTCGGCTTTCAACAAAAAATAATGAATTTTATATAGAATTATTATCTTTTAAATCAGACTCGTCAAATCTAGTCAAATAAAGAAGATTTCGCATTTGTTATCCAGCAAAATTTGTGAAAGAAAAAGATTGCCACAATAAATATTAAGTACATTTAATGTCCCTTGTATAAAAAAAAGTTAATATTGATATCAATTGCTGCTTAACTTGATATAAAATGTATCTTCAACAACTAATTTTATCATGTATATACATATATATACAGTCACATATGTAGCTATTTAATGTATGTAATATTTATAAATAGCCGGCGCCAATGCATGTAGAGTCACTCAACATTCAAAGAGATTTTTCTGAAAAAAAAACAACAACAAAAAAAACAACAAAACAAAACAAAAAAATCAACAGCAACAACAACAACCAAAAAAAACAAAAAAAACAAAAACAAAAAAAAACAACAAAAAAAACAAAACAAACAACAGTACACATATTATTCTGGTCATTATGGTCATGTATATAAATACAGTATGATTTTTTTTATAAATGAGTAGTTAATTTTTTATATATTTTTTATAAACGTTTATTCTCTTTAATTATATTGGAATCAATATCCTTCTTTGGATCAAATGTTTTGAGATGTAAATATTTTTACAATCAAATAATTTATTCAAAAATATATATCAAATTATCAAATCAACAAGCGGTTTTCAAAAATTTTAAACATAACGAAAGATTCCTTTTTTGTACATTCCAGAAAACATTCTAGAAAACCCAAGTCTGTATTCAGACAACAATCTCTATATAAAGTTATTTTTTGTGTACTATTTATTTTTCTGTTTCCAATAATTCAGTTATGTAAACTCTATTTTAATTTGGTGTTAAGACTCACTTACTTAGTCACTCGTTTTGCAAATGAATGAATTTTTGTCTGCACAGATTACGTCATGCCACTGATATGAGTCACGTTCGACAAACACAACACAATTTTCTTTGATGCGACCCTGTGGCTGACCTAAATGTGTTTAGATAATTATTCCTCTATAGGGTCAAGTATTAAAAAAAAATCGTTGTAATTATATCAGACTTTGTATTGCTTCGTAACAAGTAATGTCTTAGAAATAAAAACAATCGTTGTATGTGTAATTCAGCATTAACAAAATGGAAAACATTTTATCCGAGTCAAATCATACATTTTACTGTAAAAAATAATAATTACTCGGTAAATTTCACTCAACGGGTACCCATTTGATAAACCTTGCAGGAGCATTTGAGTCTATCCATTTCCACTTCCCTTCTGTACTCTTGTCGGTTAATCCATTCAACCAAAAACTGTTAGCTTATTAGTTTAAACATATTTATTTTAGCTCGATTGTAATTTATATCAATTAATTTCGAGTCCGCTTCCTGGAACTAACCAGTAATGGTGTCATTATGAGAAATCATGGTCGTGCTCGAACCCATGATTCATGAGTTCAAAGGCAGACACCTTAACCACAAGGCTATTTCATAATATATGCAATTGTAACCATTGAACAATTATACTTAATAATATATTAATATATTCTATAAACTGTCTGCAGTTGAATCCTGAAAACCATTAATTAATTGCTATTAATTCATTGATTAATTAATCCCATTATAAATCTAAATATCTGATGACAGTTTAGTTAATGTTCGCAGATTTGTAACCGCTTAATTTACCATGTGATGTTTTCTATCTAAACGTCTTCTTTTGATTTATTCGAATATAATTATATGACATGGATCAAATATTCATGATTTTTAATCAATTACATACTTGAACATGAAAGTTTACGTCTTTCAATTTATTTCTA